GCCCTCCGCATCAGCGCAAACGGAAGTCCGTATGTAGCCGAATACTATCTACGCCCATATCGTCGTCAGGCAGGCAAATCACACACGAATTAGTTCCAGCAGCCGCACCCGTTTTGCATACAACTGTTCGCCGTAAAAAGAGGTACGAACAAACAGATGGTTCACGTTTTCTTAACGATGACACGACATAGGTGGAGACAATAACCCGCAGGATGTACTGCTGCTTAATACTGCGGCCTTCATGAGTACAGAACGGTAAGCAAACTCATCCATTCACATGAGGCCGTTTCGTTCTCATGAGACCGCTTTTCTTAACATTCGGTCCAGCAGCGAGTTTCACTCTAAATCTGAATATGTAAAAATTACAAGCATCTAACGGCTATGGTACAAGTAGAGAGAACAGAAAACTCACAATGTCCTTTCTGCTCCAGAGATGACTGCTGACTACAAAGCCTAACGGAAGTTTGATGGTGGCCGTTCCGAACAGTTCTTGAAGAAAGCATGGACAAAATATTTTATCAAACCTGACCAACAGAGCATACATGGTCAGTGAACAGCTCTGCATTTGCAGCTCCTGTTATAAAATCCCATTTTCTGGCTTCCTTACTGACGTCTAGTGTTTCGGCTCCTGGATGAAAAGATCGCGAGCTGGAGACAGTAAATGATAGTCGACTAGTTCCGTTAACAAGGCCAACCTTAGTACCTGAAGTCAAAAGTCGCCAAAAAGAAATGAAATTCCCCACAGGAACTCTTTTTTGGCATAGAAGTCAACGCTGTTATACGTAATTCGTCTTTCGTTATGCAGAACAACTGCCTCCATGCCGTACAACACTGATCGAGGCAAGGAACAGCCCAAATGAAATGGATAATATAGACTAGCCATTCATATTTTCCGACTAACTAATACGCCACAATCGATACAGCCACGTGTCATTTTGATTATAGATATTCTTTCTTTGATGCTATGTAAAGTACGGGACAGTGCGGTAACAACTGTCAAGGACCCCATGATATGGTTCAAAACAACTAAATTTCAAC